TTGCGTTGGATAAGAATCGCAATTTTTATACGTGTGCATGCAAAACAAATTTCTTGGTAGAGGGGTCTAAATACAGCACAAACAACATTTTCCAAAAGACCAAATGAGTGAAAAAGTATATTTTAACAAACCGCATTTGACTAGCAGGTCGAACAACTGATGTTCTTAAACCCTGCTGACTGCCATTGGCGATTGCCAAATAAACGGATCACAAGATGTAACAAAACAGATCTTATAATTAAATTATTACCAAACAGAAAACAATAAACTTGCGGAAAAGATGGTATACCGCAAACATGAGGTGCAAAAATTTGTACACCATATCCGGATTTCGACAATTAATGTCTCTTCAGTGATGTTAGGAATCGAAACGGTATTTGGAAGGCCATATAATTTACCTCAATTTAGGATAGACTCTTGAATTTTGAAAGAGTCAAAATAGGATGAACGGATCATATAAACCCGAAGGCAAATATAATACAAGCCCAAACGAAAAAATATAAACAAGTCTAAATTGAAAACAACGTTCAGACCTATGATTGCGTTGGATAAGAATCGCAATTTTTATACGTGTGCATGCAAAACAAATTTCTTGGTAGAGGGGTCTAAATACAGCACAAACAACATTTTCCAAAAGACCAAATGAGTGAAAAAGTATATTTTAACAAAACGCATTTGACTAGCAGGTCGAACAACTGATGTTCTTAAACCCTGCTGACTGCCATTGGCGATTGCCAAATAAACGGATCACAAGATGTAACAAAACAGATCTTATAATTAAATTATTACCAAACAGAAAACAATAAACTTGCGGAAAAGATGGTATACCGCAAACATGAGGTGCAAAAATTTGTACACCATATCCGGATTTCGACAATTAATGTCTCTTCAGTGATGTTAGGAATCGAAACGGTATTTGGAAGGCCATATAATTTACCTCAATTTAGGATAGACTCTTGAATTTTGAAAGAGTCAAAATAGGATGAACGGATCATATAAACCCAAAGGCAAATATAATACAAGCACAAACGAAAAAATATAAACAAGTCTAAATTGAAAACAACGTTCAAACCTATGATTGCGTTGGATAAGAATCGCAATTTTTATACGTGTGCATGCAAAACAAATTTCTTGGTAGAGGGGTCTAAATACAGCACAAACAACATTTTCCAAAAGACCAAATGAGTGAAAAAGTATATTTTAACAAAACGCATTTGACTAGCAGGTCGAACAACTGATGTTCTTAAACCCTGCTGACTGCCATTGGCGATTGCCAAATAAACGGATCACAAGATGTAACAAAACAGATCTTATAATTAAACTATTACCAAACAGAAAACAATAAACTTGCGGAAAAGATGGTATACCGCAAACATGAGGTGCAAAAATTTGTACACCATATCCGGATTTCGACAATTAATGTCTCTTCAGTGATGTTAGGAATCGAAACGGTATTTGGAAGGCCATATAATTTACCTCAATTTAGGATAGACTCTTGAATTTTGAAAGAGTCAAAATAGGATGAACGGATCATATAAACCCGAAGGCAAATATAATACAAGCCCAAACGAAAAAATATAAACAAGTCTAAATTGAAAACAACGTTCAGACCTATGATTGCGTTGGATAAGAATCGCAATTTTTATACGTGTGCATGCAAAACAAATTTATTGGTAGAGGGGTCTAAATACAGCACAAACAACATTTTCCAAAAGACCAAATGAGTGAAAAAGTATATTTTAACAAAACGCATTTGACTAGCAGGTCGAACAACTGATGTTCTTAAACCCTGCTGACTGCCATTGGCGATTGCCAAATAAACGGATCACAAGATGTAACAAAACAGATCTTATAATTAAATTATTACCAAACAGAAAACAATAAACTTGCGGAAAAGATGGTATACCGCAAACATGAGGTGCAAAAATTTGTACACCATATCCGGATTTCGACAATTAATGTCTCTTCAGTGATGTTAGGAATCGAAACGGTATTTGGAAGGCCATATAATTTACCTCAATTTAGGATAGACTCTTGAATTTTGAAAGAGTCAAAATAGGATGAACGGATCATATAAACCCAAAGGCAAATATAATACAAGCACAAACGAAAAAATATAAACAAGTCTAAATTGAAAACAACGTTCAAACCTATGATTGCGTTGGATAAGAATCGCAATTTTTATACGTGTGCATGCAAAACAAATTTCTTGGTAGAGGGGTCTAAATACAGCACAAACAACATTTTCCAAAAGACCAAATGAGTGAAAAAGTATATTTTAACAAAACGCATTTGACTAGCAGGTCGAACAACTGATGTTCTTAAACCCTGCTGACTGCCATTGGCGATTGCCAAATAAACGGATCACAAGATGTAACAAAACAGATCTTATAATTAAATTATTACCAAACAGAAAACAATAAACTTGCGGAAAAGATGGTATACCGCAAACATGAGGTGCAAAAATTTGTACACCATATCCGGATTTCGACAATAAATGTCTCTTCAGTGATGTTAGGAATCGAAACGGTATTTGGAAGGCCATATAATTTACCTTAATTTAGGATAGACTCGTGAATTTTGAAAGAGTCAAAATAGGATGAACGGATCATATAAACCCGAAGGCAAATATAATACAAGCCCAAACGAAAAAATATAAACAAGTCTAAATTGAAAACAACGTTCAAACCTATGATTGCGTTGGATAAGAATCGCAATTTTTATACGTGTGCATGCAAAACAAATTTCTTGGTAGAGGGGTCTAAATACAGCACAAACAACATTTTCCAAAAGACCAAATGAGTGAAAAAGTATATTTTAACAAAACGCATTTGACTAGCAGGTCGAACAACTGATGTTCTTAAACCCTGCTGACTGCCATTGGCGATTGCCAAATAAACGGATCACAAGATGTAACAAAACAGATCTTATAATTAAATTATTACCAGACAGAAAACAATAAACTTGCGGAAAAGATGGTATACCGCAAACATGAGGTGCAAAAATTTGTACACCATATCCGGATTTCGACAATTAATGTCTCTTCAGTGATGTTAGGAATCGAAACGGTATTTGGAAGGCCATATAATTTACCTCAATTTAGGATAGACTCTTGAATTTTGAAAGAGTCAAAATAGGATGAACGGATCATATAAACCTGAAGGCAAATATAATACAAACCCAAACGAAAAAATATAAACAAGTCTAAATTGAAAACAACGTTCAAACCTATGATTGCGTTGGATAAGAATCGCAATTTTTATACGTGTGCATGCAAAACAAATTTCTTGGTAGAGGGGTCTAAATACAGCACAAACAACATTTTCCAAAAGACCAAATGAGTGAAAAAGTATATTTTAACAAAACGCACTTGACTAGCAGGTCGAACAACTGATGTTCTTAAACCCTGCTGACTGCCATTGGCGATTGCCAAATAAACGGATCACAAGATGTAACAAAACAGATCTTATAATTAAATTATTACCAAACAGAAAACAATAAACTTGCGGAAAAGATGGTATACCGCAAACATGAGGTGCAAAAATTTGTACACCATATCCGGATTTCGACAATTAATGTCTCTTCAGTGATGTTAGGAATCGAAAAGGTAATTGGAAGGCCATATAATTTACCTCAATTTAGGATAGACTCTTGAATTTTGAAAGAGTCAAAATAGGATGAACGGATCATATAAACCCGAAGGCAAATATAATACAAGCCCAAACGAAAAAATATAAACAAGTCTAAATTGAAAACAACGTTCAAACCTATGATTGCGTTGGATAAGAATCGCAATTTTTATACGTGTGCATGCAAAACAAATTTCTTGGTAGAAGGGTCTAAATACAGCACAAACAACATTTTCCAAAAGACCAAATGAGTGAAAAAGTATATTTTAACAAAACGCATTTGACTAGCAGGTCGAACAACTGATGTTCTTAAACCCTGCTGACTGCCATTGGCGATTGCCAAATAAACGGATCACAAGATTAACAAAACAGATCTTATAATTAAATTATTACCAAACAGAAAACAATAAACTTGCGGAAAAGATGGTATACCGCAAACATGAGGTGCAAAAATTTGTACACCATATCCGGATTTCGACAATTAATGTCTCTTCAGTGATGTTAGGAATCGAAACGGTATTTGGAAGGCCATATAATTTACCTCAATTTAGGATAGACTCTTGAATTTTGAAAGAGTCAAAATAGGATGAACGGATCATATAAACCCGAAGGCAAATATAATACAAGCCCAAACGAAAAAATATAAACAAGTCTAAATTGAAAACAACGTTCAAACCTATGATTGCGTTGGATAAGAATCGCAATTTTTATACGTGTGCATGCAAAACAAATTTCTTGTCTCTCTTTTCAAAATTTTAATATTGGTATCTATGATGAGTTTATTTCCACATCAATCAACATAATACAAAACAGGTGTTACCTGCTCGCTGACATATACTCGTAATGTAAACACAGTCATTTTGGGAAATAGTTCAACCTTAAAATATTATCGAAAATCTGAATCTTTTAGCAGTTTTGAAGACAAAGATACATATATTTAATTTTTTTGTACTTTTTTAAAACGAGGTGGAAGATACCAAAGGGATACTCAATACTCGAAGAGAAGCTGACAACACCATGACTAAAAACCAAAAAATTAAAAAGTACGAATAGACAAACACTTATACAACGCACCACTTAAAAAACTAAACACTTAGAAACACGAACCCCCTCAAAAATCCGGGGAGATGAAAGGTGACGGTATTAGATGAAGAATAATAGATTGTCGATGAAATCTGTCCGATGGATGAAATAAACCAGGATTTTTAATTTTAAAAGTATCGATTAATTTGTTTGTATGTTTACCAATGTAACATTAATCATTGGTTTATCACAAAATAAAGAATTAAAAGAGAATATTAAAAAAATAAAAGTCATATTGAAAATGCAGTGTGAAGTTTTTCAATCTATAAGTTATTCCCTAATGTAACTAATTATAGTTGACCCTCACTCTGAACTTTAAATACGCCGCGATCAATACAAAGTTATAATATAGAACATACAAGTATACATTTTTACAGAAGAAAAATGACGGAGAAAGCCTATAGCAAAGGTACGGTCTGTTTTCTAATGTTTCAGATAGCATACGGCAAAGTAATATATGTTTTATAATGTCCCAGAAAGCCTACAGTAAAGTAAAATTTCCTTTAATTTGAAACTAAAGTCACGAAAAACATTACAAGGAACCATTCTGTTAAAACAGTATTGCATTTTAAGCACTTGGTTGTCGTATTTGATTGAACATATCAGTTTACATATTCTATCTGATCTAAATGCAAATTTAATCATAGACATTATATAGACAAATCCAGATATGATATGCCTTTTGTGGTAAATTTCTAACGGAAGTCAGACTTTGAATGCAGCTATATTTTAGTGCGTTTTAATAGCAATGTTTACTTGTTTGCCATGTGAACCGTGAAATCCCTATTATCTTTGTTTACAACCTATCGAGACAGTAACAATAGACAATTACGTTGTAATAGCTTATCAAACTATAGCCTACGTAACATAAGAATGTTTGTCAAAGGACTTGCAACTTTATACTTCCAAATAAAGTATGAAATAAACTGATTGCCTTTTTAAATTTTAACCGATTTTATGGACTTCTAGGAGAAGTGTGTTCGGTAGATTTTTGGTTTGTTGTAAGCAGTAAGATTAAAGACTTTTCACGTTATGGAAAAGTTAAACAATGGAATGTTTAGACTAACATAAAAAAAATTTCAATACTTTTATGCAGGTACAGAATTCCCGCCTTTGGGAGATGGAAAGTTGCGACTCTATAGCATGCGATTATGCCCGTATGCACAAAGAACAAGAATTCTGCTAGCTCACAAAAAGATTCCGTAAGATTTTAAATATGATTGAGTTAATTTTATCTAAAAGTAGATAAATTTAACTATATGGACATGTTATTGACAGATAACATGTTTCTATATAGGTTAGTTGGCCTTTTTATCAAGTCTGCAAGTCCCAAAACAAACAGAAAAAAAATTGACCATGATTTCAACTCCCAAAACAAACAAAATGGACTTTGATTGCTACAACTTAAAATATTTTACTCTCTTACTTGTTTCCTAGCATGTTTTAAAAAGAAAATATATTAGTTTTGTAAAGGCAGTTTGAGATAAGAGGCGAATCTTTTTATCGTAGATTAACATTAGTATTTCAAAGGGGAAGGTTTATTAGTACGTAAAACTAGTTTAACCCCACCTCATTTTTATGCCTTTACCAAGTCAGGTATTCTGGACCTTGAGTTTTCATTGTATATATGTTTGTTTGTCAGATATTTTTAGTAGTCCTGTTTTAGTTGTTAGTGTTGTCTGTCGTATTGTATGGTATGGTCAGCGATTCCCATTAGTTGTTAGTGTTGTCTGTCGTATTGTATGGTATGGTCAGCGATTCCCATTAGTTGTTAGTGTTGTCTGTCGTATTGTATGGTATGGTCAGCGATTCCCATTAGTTGTTAGTGTTGTCTGTCGTATTGTATGGTATGGTCAGCGATTCCCATTAGTTGTTAGTGTTGTCTGTCGTATTGTATGATATGTCAGCGATTCCCATTATCCCTTTAAACAAATTATTCAGTAAGGACATATGCATGTTTTAAATACAACATACTCAGTTACCTTATACTTCTGTAGCTACGAAACAGTCAACATTAATTTGAAAGAAAAACCGGAATGGTTTCTGGAGAGAAATCCTCTTGGTATGGTTCCGGTTCTAGAGCAAGATGGGAAAGTCATTTACGAATCTGCTATCTGTAATGAATACTTAGAAGATATTAACAAACAGAATAGTGTCACGCCAACAGACCCTTACAGACGGGCAAGAGACAAGATTCTTCTGGAAATGAACAGCAAGGTATTGAAAAATAAATCTCCCACTTCTAATATGTTGAAAGAACTTTATATTTGACATTATTGCACTGAAGTGATTAGTCTTGTTATATATCTATTTATATCTATATTTATGTTTATATGACTGTCGGCAGTCTTCGGAGGTCACCTCGATGGTTAATTAAATGGCGTATAGACTTGAATACACACGAAATACGGATACATATTATCGAGCCCATACATTGTTAATTGTTCATTTTAGACTTTTTGGATATACGTTTAAGTAGGTTATAAATCAAATATGAGAATTTGAGTCAAATCGGTGAACATAAATTTGACAGCCAGTGTCCCTTTACACCTCCTCAGAGGTATTGCCATATCGCCTTTTTCAATAAACTGATTTTTGGGATGGTTTTTATCATATTTCCCGTTTTCCGTCATTTGGCCGAAAATCTCTAAAAGTTCGTCCGTGAAACACGAATAGTCAAGTATCGCAGGGGCGGATCCAGCCATTTTTAAAGGGGGTTCCAACCCAGAATGGGGGGGGGGGGGGGGGGGGGGGGGTTCCAACCATATGTCCCCATTCAAAAGCATTGATCGTAAAAAAGGGGGGTTCCAACCCCCGGAACACCCCCCCTGGATCCGCCACTGAGTGACATTGAGAAAAAGCTGCTAATATTCCAGTTACTAAACAAACAAAAATGCAACATCGTCCTGAACTTGCATGAAACATTTGCCACTTGGCGTTAAGCAACCAACAAACAAACAATCTTAATGCAACAAATAAATTAGATCAGTCTTCTAAGAGTATCTTCTATAAGATTTATAACGATACAACTATTTGAATTTAGTGAAGCGACATATCGTTTACAATCTCTGGTGAGTTTACAAGCAACTTGTCTAAGCTGGAATCAGAGTTTGACATGATTTAGAATTTTGTCTATTGTTGAAGAACGTAATTATGATGACCTTTGGATGTCTTTTAGTTGTATATTATTGTTGGGTTGCTAAATCCATCTAATGTATATCACACGTCGCCTTTAAATCATATTTAGATGCACTTTTGTCATTTATTGTTGTGATATTGCTAACTTTGCATATTTTCCTCGTAAGCAATACCTCTGAGGTGGTGTAAAGGGGCTTTAGCTGTCAAATTCATGTTCACCGATTTGACTCAAATTCTCATATTTGATTTATAACCTACTAAAACGTATATCCAACTTACAAAAAGTCTAAAATGAACAATTAACAGTGTATGGGCTCGATAATATGTATCCACATTTCGTGTGTATTTAAGTGCAGACGCTATCTAATTTACCATCGAGGTGACCTCCGACGACTGCCGACAGTCATATAAACATAAATATAGAAATAAATTGATAGCGAACCCATGCAATTGGATTTTTCCAGGTGTGTTTGATTTCAAATTATAAGTTAAACAAATATGTTAATCATCGTTTTTACCTGTATAAGAATGAGTTTTTGTGGATTGAATCAGTCAACCAAATGGTTTACCCTTGTTTCACTTGCAATGTTGACATTATTTTCCTTTTAATAGCTGAACACGTCTAGTTCATATGTAACCCATCTCTAAGGAGTTAAATAGAAGGTCACATGAATACGGATCCAAAGAGGTCGAATTATTCACTTGCAAGTGAATAATTCATCAGCGATGTTTTTTTTTATCTTATTTTGACAAAATTGAACTAAACTGGCTGCTAAAAGCGAATTATTATTTCACTATTTCACTTTCATTAATGATTGAACAAAAAAAATCATATTTTATTTTTTTTTTTTTTTTATCCCTTTAAATCGGATCAATTATGTTTATTTTCAGTTTACTACGGCCTATTACAAAGCTTTAATGAGCCTGAAAGGAGAAGATGCTAAAAGTACAATTGAGGCTGTTCACACAAGTTTAGTTCCTTTGGAAAAGGCTATTGTAGAGAGAGGAAATTTTTATGGAGGTAAAATATTTATAGTTAATTGAACTTATGAAAGCGCAAATAGTTTTGTACAAAATTCAAAAGCATTTTAGTTGTTTTTTTTTTATTTCTATCTTGTTTAAAAAGAAGCGGTTATGTGATATAAATATTTCACAAACAATTTGTAATGACTCGGTGATCTCATGTTATTGTACCCTCCTTGAGGGAAGGAGGTCATGCGTTCAATCTACGTTTAGATCAAACCAAAGACTTTCAAACAGCATATGCTGCTTCGTGGTGGATTTATGAGTAAGTGCAAAAACTGGTCGGCTCGGAGTAAGAATAATGCTGGTGTCTGATTAAGATGGTATGTCATCCTGCAAACTGTTACCGAATAAACAAGCACGTTAAATTCGACTCAACGTGCCAATTTAGTACAAATAAGATTATTTGCAAATGACATAAATATGTTATGGTTCGAAATATGAACATTATTTTTCTTTTGAACAGCCATCAATCTATTATCAAAACAACTGCAATGTCTTCTTTCTGCGTCTTTGTCCACATACCGTCCCGGTGGTATCGTGGAAGCGTGCTCGCCACGAGTTCGGGAGGTCAATGGTTCGAACCCTGGCAGAATCAAAACAAATGATTGAAGATTTGTATTTGCTGCTTCTCTCCAAAGCACGTGGCATTTAGAAGATAGGACAAAAACAGATCAGCTTGTGAACTAGCACGTTAAAAATTCCGACTCGGCGCGTCGATCTTGTACACAGCAGAAAAAAATTATATCACATTAACATGTTCTCGTCCTGATATGCATGTAAGATTTACAACTGATGCTTAGATATTTCATCATCGTCGTCCGTACAATCTTTTCAATACTTCTCCTCTTATGACACCGCTGACTTATTTAATCAAAACGTTGCCAGAGTGACCCTAAGGGAAAAAGTAAAATCACAAAAATACTGAACTCCGAGGAAAATTCAAACAGGAAAGTCCCTAATCAAATGGCAAAATCAAAAGCTCAAACACATCAAAAGAATGGATAACAACTGTCATATTCCTGACTTGGTACAGGCATTTTCTTATGTAGAAAATGGTGGATTGAACCTGGTTTTATAGCTAGCTAAACCTCTCACTTGTATGAGCCACATTCAAAAGTATATCCGATAACCCATGCGTTATGAGAACTCATGATCCTACATCCTGTCGATACTGTTTACTTATTAATTGGCATTGCACAAGGTCATGCGTTTCTCAGGCTATTGTGACGTCTTTACACTAAATTCGTTGGATGTGTACTGATTAAAAAACATGATTTATCTAGTATAGTTGTAATTGGCTTTGAACTAGCTTTCAGTAAGTGCGAATACTCTTATATCGGTGCTTTGTGTCTATTGGTATCTACTATCCAAAGGTTAGGGTGAGGGTTGAGCGCTCACAAACACGGCCATATTCTGTATTTGCCTGTCCCAAGTCAGGAGCCTGTAGTTCAGTGGTAGTCGTTGGTTCATGTCTGTCATATTTTTTTTTCTTAAATTGTTTTGTTAGGAATAAGGCCATTAGTTTTCTCGTTTGAATTGTTTCACATTTTTATGTCGGGCCTTTTATAGTCGACTATACGGTATGGTGATTTTCTCATTGTTGAAGGCCGTTCGGTCGCTTATAATTGCTTATATCCACTTTATTTGAGCTTTGGTTGAGAGTTTTCTCATTGGCAATTATACCACATCTCCTTATTTTTTTTTACCGATAACCCCTTCAGCCAAAAAAAAAAACAACATTGTGATCGTTACTATAAACAGGCAACAGAAGTAAAACTGGCAAAATGAGAATCACTCATTCCCATCCCTCCAAATAAATTCTTTCATCTGATATATTTTTTAACTTTACAAGATCTTTATGGTCTGTTTTCTAATATGTTGTCCTGTACTTACAGGTATAATAAAATGCTATTCGGTTTCGATTTATAATAATGTAATGAATGGATAAAGATTGTATGTGATTGATTTCTTTGGATTATTACTTTTTTTAAACAGCTATTGGACATGATAAATTGCATACATATGTCTGACGTCATGCAGTCATTAGATACAGGTATTCATATCACTATTTATTATAGACTTTTACATTATACTGTATAATTTCAGGTGAGAAACCATCTATGTTAGACTTTTTGTTATATCCACACTACGAGAGAATAGAAGCAATAAGAACGGGTTTCCATGCTGATCTTATGCCAATGGACAAATTTCCCAAGCTAAATGCTTGGGTTTCACGGATGCAGACTGTGCCAGCAGTCAAGGAGACAATGTTTGATACACAAACCCACATTGGTTTTTATAAATCATACGGATCTGGAAAAACAGATTATGACATTGGATTAAAATAAACTTTTGTATTTCTGAGACAATTTTATATATATCTATATATTCAATATCATTTTATATTTTATGAAAGAAGATCTGCAAGTTGTTATTGACCAGAACATTTTACATTAGTAATATATGTTACTTAATGACGAAATAAGTTACTTTATGACGAAATAATTTAATTTTGGATGTAACGCGTCTTCTGATTGGCTGACGTTGTTTTGTTTATCAGCTCATAGACATAATTTGTATGCATTTTATACAAGTGAGATAACCCTAACGGTTGACTGGGGTATTACAATATAGTCGTGTCCGGACTCCATCCGTTCCGACAGAAAATAAACTTAAGTGTGGCGTCTGTTTGACTGTGCGGGATGTATGAATATGCAGCCACGTCGGAATGGGGAAACTGAACCCGATGCCTAGTGTAGGGAGTGTACCTCGTTCTTTACGTTAAGGAACCTCGCAATACTCTTTCAGGGGTCCGTATGTGAAATGTTGAAAGGTACAATTTCAGTCCCTATCCATCATACCCATACACATTTTCCAGCGGCAGTCTTAAATTTACATCTCTTCATCCCGGTCGACCTGCCTTGCAGCATCTATGTATTGTGCTTATGTTAATTTGTTCTCGTTCTGAATATGTAATAAGTAATTAACAGTGGTCGTTAAACAGGCAATAATCAACCAATACAGGTCAGGAATCGTGTTGTCATGTGTGTTCAATAACAGAACATATCATTTGTTTTGATACAATAAATGAATGTGTTACGTACATACCTAGTGTTGTAGCTGTCTTAATATATGTGTTCCATCTGTCTCTGTTTTAGAATAATCTGGTTCTGAAATTTACGTAAAGTGCTGTTATCGACTTTCAAATCCATGCAGTTTTGTCAGAACATTTCAAAATTCTAGTGTATATATAAGAGTAGTGTTTAAAGCTTATAATTTTAAAAGGTCTAAGAACTGGATGCTTTGAACATACCTTGTATATATATGCATTACCTTACGAAGTTTCCGCCTGTCAAATGTCCATTGTCCTTGACTTCATTTTTACAGTTCAGCGACTGCTTAAAAAACTAGATAGCTGTTTTTGTCATGTGAACCTCTCACTTATTATGAGTACAATGAAGTAAGATTGCAATATTTGGTATATAGGATCCTTGCGATGTCTACATGTCCGTCAGACAGGGTTCAACTGACCTCGACCTCACTTCATGGATTAGAGATTAAGGTTACAGTAACGTAATTATGTTCGTTTCTAAAATACCATAAGCAAAAGATCAACTATATTTGGTGTATTGGATTATGTTAATGTATACATGTTCGTCTTGTAGGTTCATCTGACCTTGATCTCATGTTCATGTCCATTAGTCAATGTTCACCATGAAAATGAGGTCCGTTTCTCGTAAACTATAAGCAATATCTCAACTGTATTTTAGTGTATGGGATGATTGCTCATGTAAGAACCAATTCGTTAATAAGGTCATATTCGTGGAAAAGAGGACAGGATTGTGCTTACGACAATTGGAACATACCCGTCGTCATATGTGAAACAGATATTCCATTACGGACAACCAAATCCGACGTGAGGCGTCCATTAAATGTTTGAAGGGATGTAATGTGTACATGTCTGTCCGGTAAGAGACATCTGACATTGACCTCATAGATCATTGATAATGTTATGTTTATTTCATGCTTTTAGTTCAGCCTTTATCTTAAAGACTTCAACATAAAATCAATCATGATCAGAAAAGAAGGCGAGACAATTCCGCATATGCACTCTTGTTATAGATATAAAGGCGCAAGTCCAATGCCTCAACTGTACATGTACCGCTGTATATCATATTTTAAGAATAGTTTAAGTTCATAAAATTACTGTTGGCTGACGATAAAAAATTGGAATACGTCCTTATATAAAAACCACTATTTGACTCATAAAATGATCATAATGATATATCATATTGTTATATATATACTTGAGATTTTAATTTCAATCAATCGTTAGCCGAGAGGTGTCGGCGATTCACACATGACAGCCTCCAAGGAGGGAGTTCGATTCCCAGTGCGAGCAGGTAAAAGTTACAAAAGTAAAAGAAAATTTTTTAAATGAATTCCATTTGTGAACAAAAATTTACTGAAATTAAGAACACAAAAGAAACATTTCAATATATACAGATTTCCAATAGAAAAGCAACCCCTGCATGTTTTTTCTCTCTCCATCAAATGAAAAATCAAAACTGACGGATATTTTTTTTATAATTTACCAATCGTTTGAAGAAGTTCTAGGATATACATACAGGACATTTCCAGATTCTAACAGAAAAATTGAAATGTACAAGTTTGATGGCCCATACCCACCGTAATGAACCCCTTTAGCTAAGGTTATCAAAAAGTAATCCAGATTAACAATTATCCTATATCTTTGGTTCAGTATGACCACATTTGAATGGAAATTTGCGAGTTTTGATTTCGACCCCTATGGATTTAAACGCAAATTTCTGAACGGAAAAAATCGATTCCCGACAACAACGTAAGGCCAAATGTTTGAGGAATGCATCGAAAGAAAATTTTAGTAGTTTTATTTTAAATGGAATCAAAATGGGCTTCGATATGATGTACTGCGTTTCTATAGGCACTCAAAAATCATTTGGTGAGTCCACTTCTTCGATAAAAAAAGCGTCGATTCTAGATAAAAGAAATCATGGTAAATGAATAAGCTTACGTAACAGCAATGGGTCAATAGAAAGTCAAGCATAACTTGTTCTCAGTGTTGCAAGTTTCTGCATCAGTTCTATTCTTCACAATTTAGCTATGTACAAAATCAAGGCAAGCGATCGGGGTTTCTTGGGGCCTTAAGTTCACATTTATATATGGAATACTCTAGTAAAGATATATCCTGTATCTGCATATACTAAATGCAACAACTTTATTCGATGCATACATTTAAATTGTATGTTATACTGCCTGTTATCGTCATTCCTCTATGTATTTATGAATGAGTAATAACGATTTCGTTTATCTTAGTTTAAAATTATATGATATTTCAAATTAAAAAAAAAGTTGAATATGTTTTGTACACTTGAATTGATAAGTTTTACTATATCACAAGACTAGTGTACAAGGACTTTATTGTAAAAGAAAATTCTTTAACTTATCGACACAAACGTGCATTGAAAGGTAGATAGCGTTAATTGATTCTGAAATTTAAAAAAAAATCATACACTAAATCATTTAACAACTGTCATGACAAAATTTCATTAATAAATAAAAACGCAGAGAAAATAAATTTAAAACAATAGCATTGCTCTATCAACTCACTTATTTTTCACGCGATCCATGGTTCTGTGTTGATTGTTTATCAAGTTCACGATCGACAAGCTTCTGCAACAATACCCGAATAATAATTTTTTCGATTAACAATCACTGAATGCATTTTTTGTCGGTTATATAGGATTAGTAATAAATGTGTGTGGGGGGTGAATAGAGGATTTATATGTGTATATACATGTATGCATGCATTGGTTCAATAATTTCCTTATTATTATAATAACAAGAAATTTGTGTCATATGACTATAAAAAGTGTTTACCAATAAGTTCATATTTTGTCGACTAACGATTTACAAAGACCTCGAGTAACTATATATTATATAGAACTTTAATTATTACAACTAACATTTTGCAGTGTCTTTTTATAGAACATATCTTGTACATGTTGTAAATTTACGCCTATTTTTTTTTAATATGAGTTAGATAAAAACAAATGTCCTACCAAATATACTGATATTTACTGCCCCATTGTGAATGTTTATTTTTGTTTCACAGGTAAGTATACTCGCATATGTAATCAAGTCCAGTACGATTCTTAAACAGCGACAATAAAAACGATATGGCCGTATAGTGGTATGGGGCTGACTGGACACTGCAAAGTTCTTATAACACCCGGTTCTAGAATTCATCGGGTACGCTCAAGACCAAAACTTTGGAAAAGCCAAATCTATGTCATTATACCAAAGATAAACTCAACTTGACATGATGGATATTTTCGAGTTTTAAACATACAGCTGTACTCCGTCAATTAAATAAAACAACCATTTGCGGAAAACTTCAAATAATTATATAATACTTAAATATCCATAATTATAATTATATTAGTTAGTTTTATTAATTGTTTGTTTATATTACTTTTATTATTTAGAATAGAAGAAGAATGTGTCTGAGGACACGAATGCCCCCGCTCAAGCTTTGCAATCATGTTTAAAAAGTTAAAAGAGGGCATAGCTCTAGAACGGTAAGTGACTCACTGCCCAAATTCGAACTCTGTTTGCTATTTTTGGTTCTTTTAGCATTGTGTATGAGTTTCATAAAATTTGGATGAGGAAAACTTATGTTACACGGAGGGACGGACGGTAGGACGCATCCCCGTTGCCTACGGCGGGGGCATACAAATAGTTATCAAATGCATGTTGCTCAATCATTAGTTTTCTGTGTGTGTTTTGTGAACTGTTTTTTTTCATTTGACCATCGTGTTGTTTATTTTTCTTCGACTAATGGCTTGTTATTGCCCTTGGTATTTTCACCTTTGTTGAACTTTATAAACAGCCAAAAAGTCGTATGACTTAAATTTAAAATTCCTTAGGGGGTCAGTCAAAATATGACTGTATATAAACTGTATAAGCTTGTCAACGTATATTTGTTCCACCTAACAGATGTTGAAGTTCAGAGGCGGATTTAGGTAGGGGGTAGGGGTCCCGTCCCTCCCCCTTTTGTGGGAAAAATTTGGTTGATTATATAGGGAATCACTGACGCATGACTGGAGCGGGCCCCCTCTTAGGCAGTCAGTGGGCCCCCTCTTATGAAAATTTCTGGATCCGCCACTGACTGTTCCACTAGAAACTTTGTTATAAACAATGCCATATCTGTTCCTGTTTACCATATTAAATAATTCATGATATTTCATGATATCGGCAATCTATTCAGACTAGGGATGCTTTAATAACTCAACAGTGATTATCAATAACATATGACCCGAGTAAAATAATTTGCTTGGTCATATATATATACAACATTCTACATTTTAACCTTATCGTTCCACAAAATGACCCAATACAAGGGTTTGTGCTTTAGTATTTAAAAGACTCGTCCAACGAAATATTGAATATTTGGTTTATATCTTGTGCACAAGATAACAGGTTATTTAAGCAAACAGATATAGTGTGTGTTGTATTTTCATTTCGGACTTTAAATAATTTTAAGATAGAAAGGATGTCGCTAAAAACTCACACAAAGGGTTTGTAATTTATTACTTTATACATTATTGGCACCGTCTGACATTGTGCTCAATATCCGTGAAAATATATTATTGTTTGTTCTTCTGAAATACCTTCGTAATTTCTCACCTTCAATCAAATTAAATATCAATCTACAAAGTGGACCCGATGATTGAAGCTCCATATAGACAGAATTTGATAACTTTTTGTTTATGTTTCATATTTTCATCTCCTAGCTAGTATCACCACGTGTGTATCCATATGTATCCACATGTGTATGATGGAGCATCAACTTGCTACTCTGGGGTATAATGAAGAATGTTCCTATGTAAAAAAAAACGGAGATGTGGTATGAGGGGCCTGATGGGTTATTTTCGTTCTTCGTGATCGGCGCATTTTCGCTATCGTGATCCGTTTTTCTACAGACTTATTTTTTTTTTATATTTTCGTGATCCGTGATCATGGAAATTTATTTTCTATGAATCGTGATTGACAAAAAAATCAACTCGTGAATCGTGATGAGACCCCCCCCCCCCCCCCCCCCCCATCAGGCCCCTCTGGTATGATTGCCAATGAGACAACTATCCCGGCACTATAGACCAAATGACGTAGATGTTCGCAAGTATAATGTCCATGACGGAAATTAAGATTACGAAGAAATTTGATGAGTCGGCCATTTCCTAGATTCTAGAAAAATTAACCACGGTAAATGAATAGATTGAAGACACAGCAATAGTTTTAAAATAGAAAATAGAGCATACTTTTAGCTTGTTCTCAGCAGGGACTCTCTATACTAACTAAGTTAGTATAGACTGTCCCTGTTCTCAGTGTTACAAGTTTTGACATCAGTTTTATATTCCACAAATTTAGTTATGAACAGTGTAATTTATATAACATTGTATAAGGAATACTCTTAATAGATATATATCCTGTATTTTCATAAATAAATGCAATAACTGTATGCATTGCTAAATCAGAGACATATATACGTCTCTGGCTAAATTTAAATTGTATGTTATATTCGTGTTATTGTCATTAGAGTCTGTGGTATGTCTCAGTCTTCACTCCAACATCCTCTACATTTATGACTGGTCTGGATCATACCGATTTCGTGTATCTCGTTTATCTTGGGTTTTAATCAAGTCATTATCAATAAGTACATATTTTGTCGACTTAACGATTTACACAGACCTCGTGTAACTATATAGAACTTTAGCTATTACAACTGGCATTTTTCAATGTATATTTGTAGAACATATCCAGCCTACTTTTGATCACTTTTTCAATATGAGATAAAACCAAAATTGAAATGTCCTATCAAATATACTGTCCCATTTCAAATGTTTATTTTTGTTTTACAGAATTGTTTATTTACCTGTGTAATCCACAGATAATCCAGGGCAATTCTTAACGATAACGAAAAGTGTATGGTCATATTGCGGTATGAGTCTCTCTTGACCTTTCGAGTACGTTTGAAAGCCAAATTTGTGAAATTATGCCAAAGATGAACTCAAACATGATGGTTAATTTTTAATTCTGGGATGTTTATAAAAATGAAACAAAAGTTTGCGGAAAGCGAAAAATGTATAATACTTGAATATACATAACGATATAAGTTTTTGTATTATACTTTTATTATTTATAAACAACGATAAATTATTATTATCGATTACTTGTTTCTCTATCTAGAGTTGTCTGTGTATTTTGTGAATTGTTGTTTTTTTACTGTCGATTTTCATTTGACCATCCAGTTGATACGATATTCCAGATCTTGGATTTCCTTTGAAATTCATGATTTCCTTGATATCACTTCGTAGTGGTACGAGCTAACATGGTACGAGTTGACATTTAGTGGTACGAGTTGATGTAGTACGAGTTTGCATATGGTACGAGGTGACTTGCTTCCGTTGTTTGTTTTTTGGATCGTTTGTCGTTTTTCACCATGGCATTGTCAGTTTGTCACCGACTTACGAGTTCGAATATCCCTTTGGTATCTTCCGCCTCTCTCTTAAACACAAAACAACATACGACCATAGTAAAATAATTTGCTTGTTCGTAAATTTTCACAGGACAACCCCTGAGTATCAAATAGACTCGTCCAACTAAATATAGAACAGGAACCGTATTAATTTGAATTAGTAATATTTTCATTTCGGACTTTAATTTGAAGATAGAAAGGATGTCGCTTAAATCTTACTCCAAGGGTTTGTTAATATTACTGTATATGTTATTGGTTACTCATTGTGTTCAATTCAATCTTCACAATATCAATCTTCAAAATAACCGTACGTCGTCCTGACTTGCATGAAATATTTGCCACTGGACGTCAAACAACCAACAATCAATCACAACATCCGTGAAAATATATTATTTATTGGTTCCTTTAAAATACTTTCTTTATTTTTTTCCCTTTTCCACTCTGCAGAAGAGGGGGCATATTAAACTTTTAAATGTCCATATTAAAATTACAACACAACTTGAATTCATCGAAACTAGACGTCTAGACATGATCAAACTAAATGGTGTTATTAGGTGGTTGTATGGTGTTTGAATATGTTTGCTAGACAATAGACATTCTACTTTGTGACCTCGATCAGTAGTGTTTGAGCTAATATACTTCAATAAGACATTATTTACCATGTTAACTTGGTACATTGTATTTATATGTATATATATGATTGAGGTTTATACATTTATTTCCCGTGCCGGAGGGAGATATGAAGATTTGTTCACCCAAGAATATTCATATTTCACGAGGGCTCTGCCCGAGGGAAATATGATTTTTCGAGGGTGAGCAAATCTTCATATCTCCCGAGGCAAAGGGAAATGAATAATTTATTCCACTGCCTATGCTTTGTTTACTATCAATACATTAAATATTATTTTGCATACATTTTTTTTCTTATCCGCTTGTTTTTGTAAGTCAAACTAAACAAGACATACCCATTGATAAACAGTAAGGATCAAAATTTAATTATAAGTCTTTTTGTTTTATCGTCTGAAATAAATTTGAACATGATAATGTTTTTTGCTATCGCTATTTTAAGAAGAATAAGAAGTTCAAAACGTTATGTACATTAACCGCGCGTAACGTCGCACGAAGTAATCCCGACATTTCAGAGGGGAATATGATCCTCAGAATGGAATATGAAGATTTGTTCATTATGACACGTGGGATAGTCTCAACCAATCAAATAT